AAAAAAGTTGACTATGTATGTTGGATGCCAATAATATAATAAAATTGCTATGTATTATTATATACCAATATATAACTGAGGGAACACCTTCTTACATCAGTGTGTAAGTTTGAAGAAATTGTAATGCCTTAGATTTTCTGGGACAATTCCAAGTTGAAACATTTTATTTGCAGTCCCCATAGCCCCCTGGAATAGCACTGTGGTCAGGCAAACCTAGGCCAAGTTCAGGCTCTACCTCTTACTGGTTGTGTAATCTCTTAGAAACTCGGCATACACCACAGAGATGCGAAACTACAAAGAATGTGCACTAAATCATCAGCACAGAACCTACAGTGTAAGTGGCATCCCACCTCTGACATCCAAGCTTCCTATGTTAGGAAACCCTAGTCTGCTTTATTAAACACAAGTGTCAGCTTCGGAATCACACAGCAGGCCGAAGGCCAACGAAGAGGCATCGCTAACTGCAACAGGCACCAACCGATAAATCCCTACGCTTCTTAGAAATGGCTTTATTAGAAATACATACAATGCATAGAAAATGGATATCATATACGTACAGCATACTTATGATGCCAAAAACACACAGTACAGCTTATTCAGAAATATTGAAAAGCATAAAATATTCCATAGAAAAACAGAAATAATCTCATTTCTGCAAACCTTAAAAACACAAATTGCCTAAGATACTCCTTAAAAAGAGAAAGCTGCATTAGGAACTATTCACTTTAGGATCACATGCAAGTTTACATCCTAATGAGACAATATTCGTCACTATCCAAAAGCAGCTTCTCTGAACCTAAGAGAAAAGCTAAGGAAAAAAGAAGAAATAAAATTGTGATTTTGGAGAAAACACTGAAAGAAAAAGAACGTAAGCAAAAGTACTCGTAGTTCACAAGACTATCGGTGTTTCTAAAACACAAACAGCCTTATGTTTAACTGATGCTACCTCTGCCAGGCCAAATCATCCTCCAGGAAAATGTTGCGGCTGGCTTTTCTACTTCCAACAGGTGTTCGGGGTTCACTGGGATCCAGCAGAGACACGGAGCAGGCAGAATCAGAAAGGGCATTCAAGTCTTCTCCAATGGAATTACTGTCTGTGGAGTGAGCATAGCTTAAGGCTATTTTTCTACAGTATGTGCAAGCTCGAAGGTCCCCTAAGAGAGGGAAAAGAACAAAAATAAGTAAAAGTTAGTATTAACGTATTACTCAACAGAGCATTTTATGTCCTTGTGTTAATCTAATAACAGGGAAGTGTCTTCATGTCAAAACTACCAAAAGAGCCAGTTTAAAGAAGTCTGACCCTTTACTTTTTTTTTTTGTTTGTTTTTTGTTTTTTTCCTTTACTTATTTTAACTAACCATCCTTATGATACACTTATCTAGGTGTCCAAATTAAACAACAGGAGGAGAAAATTAATAGACCGCAACTAACAAGTCAAAAGAATACAATCCCCTGACACAAGAAAACAAGGCTGAACAGAGAATTTTTTAAATTTCTAGAAGTTAAATATGAAGGTCCACAGAGGAAAGGATTTTTTCGTCAAGTAAATACACCAACAAAGCAAAACATATTTTCTCTCTGAAATAAAGGGAAGCCCTGGTAGGTTGGGTTACACAGTGGGCCTACTGGGAGATCTGCACTTTGTACAGTGAACGCGCTCCGAGTCATTGTGGTGCAGTGAGTTACTCGGCAAGTCTCTTCCAGCCATAACCTTTCTAACTCTCACCAAATAACCGTGCAAATTGGGTTCTTTTCCTCTTTACCTGAAGGGTTTGGGAAAGAAAAGGTACAGGAAGATGCCGATATAATTATATGATCCAGTTGTGAATGACTGCTAACAGGGCTGTGACTGTAAAACTCTGGAATGCTAACATGGGGATTGATCGATTTGCCATTCTGCTGGGTACAAAATGAGCAATCTCAGAAGCAGGAAGGAGGAAATTCAGAGAAGATTCAAGAGTGGAACGTGTTCTCTGGGTCCCAAGATCCCTGCACACTGAGCCTCCTTGATCCAAGAGCTAAGACACTGGAGAAGTGGTGGCAGCAGATGCAGGAGCACCACAAGCGTGAGACAGAGGTGTGCTTCCCAGCTCACAGAGCACGTAAAGCTAAGTATGGCTGGGCAGGAAGTTCACTTGCAAAATAGGGTGCTTCCAGGCACCCTATTGGGGGAGCTAGGTCTGCTGAGCTACTGGGCGAGCGCTGAGCAGCTTTGGGCTGAGGCTTACAGTGGAGTACAGCGTCCTTCGGCCACTTATCAACAGAATGAAAGGAGCTCTGTGACAATCTTAAGCACAGAAGTCAAGTGGCAGTGTAGCTGAGGACCAAGGACCAGAGAGAGGCCTGTCTGCAAGCAAAGCTGAGAAGAGAGACTGCTGATTACACTAACTGTATCCTGAACATTGCTGATGCTGAACTGTAGCTGTGAACTTCCTTGGTAAACCTAGAAATCATGAGTATTGTTTGTTAGCTGGGTGTGGTTAATGCGGTGCATTTTCTAACGCAGCAGAGCAGCAGAGTGCCCCGGGAGGGGCAGCTGGTAAGAAGGTTGGGGGGTGGAAGCATGTCTGACTCCGGCCCCTCATAGGTACCGGCCGTGAGCTGTTGTGAAGTTTGAGTCTCCTTCCCGCTTGTGAAGTCAGAGGAGGTCAGACAGAGCTGCCGCACCATTTCTTACAGTAATAAAAGAATACTGTAACACCTGCTTGCTCTGTCTTTCCTAGAGCTTGCATCTCTACACTGTCTTTCACTCTGTGTTGTTTTTTTTTTGCACGCTCCCATTTACCTTATTATTTCACTAGAGAGGGGTGTGTCTCACCTCTCAAGTTTGTGTCCCTCTTGCTCAACATATAAAGCCCCAAATAATTCCGGTTGTGTATTCTCACTATTCTAAAGACCTTTAAGAACTGTAAATCTCAACAAAAATCCACTTACCGGTGTAGCCCATAAACTTGCCAGGGATTTCTTGATTACAGCAACGACTGCAGAAAATCTGCCCACAGAGTCGGCAATGATGTCTGCGCCTGAAGGTGGTAAACTTCTCACTGCAGTCGTAGCACTCTTTACACTGGCTGTCTGGCATCCAGTACTGCTTCAAGTCACTATCCTGTAACAAGAACACTCTCTGAGGCGTCTCGGAAATACCCATGACTAAGACACGCTGGCAAGGGCAATCCTAACCAAAGTCCTCAGGATTTTCTTTTGCAGAAAAGTGCAGGTTCATTCGAAAACTCATATGGAAAGGCAAGAGGCCCAAACAGCCGAGATGATCTTGAAGAACACAACTGTACAGGCGTCAAGGTTGGGTGCAAAGCTGTGGAGACTCCAAGTAGGCCACTGATGCAAGGGAAGGAAAACACGGGGCTGTGGAACAGAAAGGGGGTCCTGGAGTGCCTTCACACGCACACACAGATACCTGATGGGATGTATAACGCCGTCGGGAAAGGAGGATCTTCACAGTAAAACAAGGTGCTGGATCCAACTTTTAAAAAATTAAAGCTGGACAGCTATTCGAATAGCGAAGCTTTCTAAAGACAATATGGAGAACTCTCCGCTGCTCCTGGACTAGATAAGAACTTCTTGAAGAGGCTACTGAGAGCACTAGCTACAAACAGGGCTCCAGTGGGCCACGTGAAAACTAAAGGCTGTGTGCAGCACAGAATGTGCTCAGCTGACAGGAGCACTAGGAGAACAGCCCCTCCGGGGGCATTCGGACACATAATTAATAAGTAACCCATGAAGCTTCAAGGCAGTACCTGGCTTTTCCCCTCCATGATCTCCTTGAGGCGCCTTAATACTGTACTGAGGCTCCGAAGCTGAACAGCTGTTCGAGGGTCATGACCTCCAAAGTTGGGTTCTGCTTTCCTTCTTGCATCTGAGTCGGATTGAAAAAAAAAAAAAAAGCAAAAGAACAGACACTAATATCTATGCACAATCATGAATACATGTGATTCAAGCTGCCTCCTGATGTCTGCCAGCATATGCGTGTTCTCCAGCCGGTGATACAGCTTGAAGGGTGCACAGTCTCTCTAAGGGAAAGTTTCTCTTAGTTCCATGCACTACCCTGTTCCATGAGGAAGGAAGACGGGCACTACTGGCTTAAACGCCGACAAAAGAAGCATTGCTTAAATGGTTCAAAACTTCACTAATGGGCCCAACCCATCATCTATAACACATTACACACACACACACGCACACACATATATAAACATATAAATAAACATACGTATATATGTTTATTTAAACCATGGCCATCGAGTTGATACTGATTCACAGCGGCCCTGGATGGAGTTTCTGAGACGGTAAATCTTTACAGGAGCAGACAACCTCATCTTTCTCCCACAGCCGGGCTGGTGGGTGTAAACTACTGACCTTGCAGTTAGCAGCCCAATGCTTACCCACAGCTCCACTGGGGCTCCCTAACCCCTCACACACAGCCACTAGAAATTTAGCAGAAGAAAAGTGATCCTAGAGGATTAATTTAGCTTAACCTGTAAAGTCAAACAGGTAAGCAATCAAGTAAATAACAGTGGAGTCTGAAGATCATAATCCAAAGGTCTCATCAAGCTCATCAGAAAGGAATTTATACCTTGGCCCCCAAAGTTTCTGGCAGATTTCAGAACATCCAGGAAGTAAATTTTGCCAGACATCTTTGACCACCATCCGAGTAGATTAAAACTGCCAGAGGCCTGTTAGAATTCTAAACCCACCCCTCTTTCTTTCTCCCCGCCACCCCTTGCAATCCCAAACAGCAGGAACCGCTTACACTTGAGATAGCAACACGGAAGTGAGATCTATCAGTCGACAAACAGGCCCCAATGTCAGCGGTGCCAGAATGGATCTGCCTAACCTAGTCGTCACTTCCGACTATTCGTGGCTAAGGATGAAGTGGGGTGGTTTTACAAAAGGAAAGCTTCCGTCACTTAACCAAAAAAACAAAACTCATTGCCAAGTCAATTCAGATACATGGCAATCCTGTAGGGCAGCGCAGAACTGCCCCTGTGGTTTCCTAGACTCTCGTTATGGGAGGAGAACGCCTCCTCCTTTCCTGAAATCTCTGGCAGAGCAAGGTAGAAAATATCCCCCGGTAAATATTTCCTGAATTTTAGGTGTCTTTATTTGGGGTGAGTGGGAAAAAATTACGGTGGATAAGAGGTTTGTGTCCACAACTGAATTTATGGTTTCCCGAGATAGGTACTAAAATAATTATCTAAGCCTGTACCTATTTTTCAAAAATTTGAAAACTATCTAAATCTCAGCATATATCTGATGTGCTGCTGCCAGAATACAAGTATAAGTAGTAGATTGGCCAAATGTTTCTGGAGACTTACAGGAGGAGCAACTTCATAATGTATGAGTTAAAGGAGGAGAGCGATGAAGCGGTTAGAGCTTCGACAGGAAAAACCACTCACTGAGAAGCCCCTGCATTTAGCCACCGAGCAGTCAGAGAGAGCACCATCATCGCCATGCACGAGAAGACGAAGAGTTAGAAACCAACAGAAACACAGATCTTGAAAGAAAGAAATCATCCGATGTAGCCTTTTGCCTTTACTTTTCTTGTAAAATAGCTGTTGGAATATTAACTAGCTTTCCTCCACAGGCAGAAAAGGATGGAACTATAGGAAAGGAACTTGATGGAGCAGTCACTGGCCCACTAAGCGATGGAGCAAAAAGGAATCAAGTGGCCGGAGAAAGCATGACTAGGAAAGGTGGGGCCTACAGCAAAGCCGGGACTGTACCAGGGCCACCGCCAAAACCAAACACACTGCCACCGACTCCATTTTGACTCATGGCGACCCTGCAGGACAGAGAAACACTGCCCCTGTGAGTGTCTGAGACTGTAACTCTTTACAGGAGTAGACAGCCTCATCTTTCTCCTGTGAAGAGGACAGTGGTTTTGAACTACTGACCTTACGGTCGGTCAGCAGCCCAACGTGTAACTACAATGCCACGAGGGCTCCCCCAGCTCCACCTACGAATAATTATCTTCAAATTTTAAAAAAATTTAATTAAAAAAAAAATCAAAAGCTCCTACCCTTGTGATAAAAACAAGCCCAAGGCTCACTGGCCCAGAAAACCCAAAGGTTCTCCAGTCCTTAAAGAGACCATGTTCGTTCCTCCCCTTCCTCCCCCATCCTGAAGACAGGGGTTCTGGTCCGCATCCAGAGTTTCTGCAGCAAAGTCTCAGCCAGCAGTACAATATCCCTCAGCAGACCACCACTAGTTGTGCCAATTATTCACCCAAGGAACCTCACGGCAGAAGCTCATCTTTGGGGATGAATGACTGCCTCCCAACACCGCACTCTTTCCCTCTATCAGACTGTCTCCGCCCCCCACCCCACCCCTACCTTTCTCCTCCCACCTTCAGTCCAAGTTTAACCATCTCACAGAAAAACAGCACCATCTCCCCAACCCCACCGTACACAGCACCAGTGCGTGAGCATGAAGGGGGTGAAGACTGTGGTGACGGGATGAAGAACACACAGGCAAGAGGAACTCAGCGATCCAGCGACACTGACAGCTGCCCGCCAATGAAGTCGGAGGAAGAGCAAGCAGCAAGCAGGCCACGGATGGGTGAGGGGTCTGCAGTCAGAGGCATGCACATCACATTTCACTGGCAACCCAGGAACTGGTGCAGCATCCGTTCACAGAGCTGACACTAACCTGGGCTGTCCTGGGGATGCTGCAAACTGTCCTCGGCTGAAACCCAAACAAGGAATTAATCAGAAGCAAGCAGGCGCTCTTTGCCGTCCCTACATTACAGTTTAAGGAATTATTTTAACAACTTTGCCTAGGCATCAACAAACTCTTTCACTGCCTACATAACAGTGTCACGTTCATGGAATCACAGCGCATGGCTGTTCAGTTAAATCCAATTACACAGGTCAAGCTCTGGGCAATACAACGAAGGGGTGGCGGGGCCTAGCATGCAGAGTCGCACGACACGGGAGCTCAGTCTTACCTGACGCAGCTGCAGAGCGCCGGCGGAGCTCCTCATTAAGGTGCTTTTTATACGGCAGCGGTGACCTCACAGTTTGTGTCCTTACTGGGAGCTGGGGGCTGGTCCAACTTCCACTCAGAGGCTGCTGCTGCTCCCCCTGGCCCCCTTCTCCTCTCTCTGTAGCAAAGAAAGGCCTGCTGTTATTTGAAAACCACAGACTCCAGAGCTCACTTCCAGTGAGACAGGCCTTTTACCTGGTCCATCTTAGTCTGGAGGCTGCACTACAACGCACTTCCTCAGCACAGCAGCACACGCAGGGAGCTACAGGGGGCGCACTGGCTACAATGGAACCCGCTGACCCCCATGGAAGGCAAGACATTGGGTCATCAGTTACTAAAAAAGGTATCCTGTTAGTGTATGATGTCAACACCGGAGGAAACTGGGGGTGAGGGTATATGGTAATTCTCAGTACTACAGTCTCAATTTTTTGTGTGTGTACAATGAATACTGCTCTAAAAGATGAATATCAACTTTTCCCAAAAAATATCAGTCTTAAATTTAGACTATTAGGAGTCTATGTAGGTTAAGCATTACAACTATTCAAATTCAGATGATAGTATTAAATTTTCTATTGCATTTAGTTATCTAAATGCAAAGTCCTTAGGACAAGATGACTTTCTAAGATATTTCAAATAACACAAATGGGAAGCAAAAGATAATGAACGGCCCATTTATTCTACTTTTTTTAAGATAAACCTACCAACTGCCCTTGAGCCGATTCTGCCTGATGGTAACCCAGTGGCACAGAGTAGAGCTTCTTTCTCTCCTGGAGCAGCTGGTGAGTTTGAACAGCCAAACCCCTAACCCAGAGAGCATATTTTAAAAGTATCTTTCCCTTGGATGCAATCATAAAACCTGGTCTGATGGGGTCAAGTCAAAACAGACCTGCTGGCAACTTCCTACTTCTGAAACGTATACACCATTCCCAGGTGCTGGTCTTTTTAGTTTCATTGCTTCCATTAATATATTTTAGCTATTAACTCCCAAAGGGACAAAGGTCCACTCTGTGAACTTGAGGAAACTGAAGCTTACTGAAATGTTTTTTAAATTAAAAAATTGTGGGTTTTTTCTTCATAAAGGAACCTCTAATTTTTAGTTGCCAATTCTGACCTCTGGTACCCGATATTTAACAAGATCACAGTAAAAGTTCTACCTCTCCTGTCTTACAAAGTAAACCCAGGTGACCAATGACTAAAGCTATCACTTTGTTAACATTACACTTTCCTGCAAAGACACGTCATGAACGTTAAGAGATTTTAGAGAATCCAAAAATGTAGCTTGTCTGATCTTTTAAAAAAATTCATCTTACCTTTGTTAAATCTAAAGAGGTTTACAAAAGAGCTATACGCAGATTTAAAAGGTGGCTCATCCTGATCAGGAGTCAAAGGCTTAAAGTGTGTGAGGTGAGAAGGGCTGGTAGGAGATGGAGGCAAGTCGTTAGCCGCGTCCAGTGTTGGGGGAGTCCTGTCATCTGTGGCCATTGCATGAGCCTGAAAAAGGAAATACACAAGGGCAGTATATGCGAGGACTCTTCTGAAATGTCATGGTGAATGCGTAGTAGGAAATACTAAAACTTTCATTCCACACATCCCTAGTATTTCATACTTCACCTTTTCCATTAAAACAAACTCACATTGACTTGTTATAACATGTCTGAACAGACACTAAGAAAGATAAGACATCAATTTGAGAAGAGCCGCTATCAGAGCAACACAAATTCTGCAAAAATGGAAACCAGAAGAAATGGTGAAATCACCGAGGATCCGTGAAAATGGATGGAGAGGAAATCTGCACTTTATAAACGGCTAACTTGTTTCAAGAAAGGGCCAGGCCACGTTGAAAATGAAGCCCGAAGGGGCAAACCGTCCACATCAATTTGCGAGGAAAAATGTGGTCTTGTCTGCACCCTAATTAAAGAGGACCGGCAAGTAACCGCAGAAACAACAGCCACCACCACAGACATCTCTGTTGGTTCAGCTTCCACACAGCCGATGGAAGAAGGAAAGTGGGATGAACTTTCTGCTCCCTGGCTGTCAGAACCTTGCACAAGATCCACTGCAGGCAAGAGCGGAACTTTGGAGATTATAAGCAAGTGGGATCAAAAGCCTGAAACATCCCATAGTGGAATTGTCACAGGAGATGGAGTTACAAGATAAAAGGTATAAATTTTATTTCTCAACGTAAGCTCCATCAAGGTCAAGACCCTTTGTAAGCAACGGTACCTAACACCTTTTAGGCCTGGGAATTCGCAGTAGGATCCCAGAGACCAAACACAAAGCAATGGCTCTCAAAAGGTGGACGAGGTCCAGCGAAAGAAAAGCAGACAGTCAAGAGCAAGGATCAGTGCGGCAGTTTTATGAGATGCTCAAGGCGTCTATCTGTCTTGCTTCCTGGCTTTCTGAAGGGGCAAACAACTGTGACATCCACTAATAGGACAGTATTTTGAGAACGTGAACCAAAGCTTCAGCAGAAAACTGCCTGAGTGCTGCTCCACCATAACAATGCCCCCACCCAGAGCTCTTATCAAACGAGGGCAATATTGCGGCGGGACTTTTCATGGGACATCTGAGGCGTCCACCTTACAGTCCTGATTTGGCTCCTTTTGACTTCTTTCTGTTCCCTAATCTTACGGTATCTGTAGAGGGCCCCATTTTTCTTTCCTTAATCATGTAAAACTGACCACACTGATGTGGCTAAATGTCCAGGCCCCTCACTTCTTTAGGGATGGACTAAATGGCTGGTACCAGTGCTTACAAGGGGGCTTGATTTCAATGGAGCTTATGTTGAGAAGGTTTTTTGGTTTGGGGTCTGTTTGTTTTTTCATTCCATTTTCCCACAAGTTTTGTGAAGTTCCATCATATCTTTCTCAAGAAGCCCAAACCTTTTTGCCAAACCACACCCAAATATCTGCAAAATCCAATTCTGAGAAAACTCAGACTTAGGAAAACTACAGAGTCAACAGATCTAGCTTAGCATATGCTCTACGTGAAGGGTTGAAAACACTACTGTTTCCATCTTAAGGATGTCTCAATCGCCGAACCTTATGACTACACACAGCCAATCCTAGGTAGAGTTTAAAAGAGTAGTAGTTGAACATCAGAAAATAACAAAATAAGTGAAATTAGGCCATCAAAATTTGGAACGAAAACATAAAGGTGAGAAATGAGGGGAAAAGACCAAAAAAGGCATCGCCCAGGCACTTAAAACTTAAATTTTTAAGCTTTTTTGAGGAAAAAAAGATACTGTAAATAGTTTTTTTTTTAACTTATGGGGAGACTGATTTTATATAAACATATAAATTCCTCAAGGCTTTGTTTTAAAATATTTACGTATCAGAAATAAATACTCCACAGAAAAACAAGGAAGTCATCATCCTTTACACATTTCTGTGTAGCCTCCAGTTACCTCCAGCACACCTCATGACCCGTGACAAACATGCAAATCACAAGGTTGGCCCCTTCCTCTTGCCCCCCGGGGCACAGGAACCTGGCTTTTCTCCCTTTTAAGTCTAAACAGGTCTTTCGACAGTAAGATGAGAATCTTCTGAAGGGGCTTTTAAAAATTACTGAAAGCCATGATGCCCATAAAACCGCAAAGCCAGCCACACCATCACTTGACGGTCACAGAGAAGCCTGAGGTTTCTTTTCTACTCCAGTGGTACAACAGTGAGGCGCTGGGTGCGGGAGAAAGGCCTGGAGATCGGTTCCATTAGTGAGGGCTGGCAAGAAGACCCCATGGGGTGGCTCTAGTCTGTCACCTGGGGTGGCTAGGAGCTGGAATGTTTGCTATAGGATGGGTGAATGTTATCAGGTTTCCACTCCACAACTTAAATCCATTGTTTCCTGACCACCCCAGTGACACAAGATGTTTTGTGATGGCCAAGTTTCCAGAACTTTGCCCCTGTGTGCTTGACAGTCTCATTGGTAATATATGCGTGGAGCACACACAAACACATATGCAGAATAGCCTACGCCACTCCGAAATATACATACTTGTAGGTGTACTCCCGTGCACCTGTTCGTGTCTGTTCAGCTTGCAGATTTATCATATCTCTATTCAAAATAAGGAATGCAGCATAAATGGGCCTGGACTCCTAGGGCAGGGCCGGGCCAAGCTCTCTGTCCCTGCAAACTGAGTGCACGTGCTGCTGAAGCAAGCACTGAAGTCCCACTTTGCACGAAGATGACATCATACTCTTGTAAAATGCTTTTCACTTTCCAATTATATCTACCATCTCCTTTTATGTGCACAATACCCTGGGATGCACACAGAGCTGGTCTTATGACGACGAGGACTACATTTCACCCTTGAGGAAATCACTTTCTAGAGGGTCACACAGCAAGTCAGAGTTTGACCACGTCTCACCCAAAATTCTTCCTCAGATTAAAGTTCTTTCTGCAGCTCTGCATAAGTTTCCAACCACAGCCTACCTAAACCCCCCAACAACTATTAAAGAAGCCCTGGTTGGTGAAGCAAAACCACACTCAGGGCTGTCAAGTCCATTCTGGCTCACACTGACCCTACAGGACTTCTTCACCTGGTCTCCAGAGCAGAATGCCTCACCGGGCTCCGGTGGAACCCCTGAGGGCTTTCCGAAGGCCAACCACGTGACCACTGTGCGCCCAGGCCCCTCTTGATTGACTGGTTAATGAAACAAAACATGAAATGAATCCCTTTGCATACTGTCCTGGAATAAACTCATCCATTTCCATAAACTCAACTACCACCAATAAGTCCATCATTCTTGGGGTCTACATCTAGCCCAACCTTCTACCAAGAACTAACATTTCCAACTGCCCTACTGTTCACTCCAGCAACATGCATCAAAAGGGGGGAGGGGGGACTTAGGCAAGATGAGGAGAGCATCTTAAATTGAGCACATCCAAAATTGGTGGTGAGGCTAATTCCACCTAAATCATCCCTTTTTTCTACTTGTTAGCTTTCACTAAAAACTCCTTAATAAAACACACACACACATATATATACTTTTTTTTAATTGTAGAAAAAGAAATTAATGCACGGACTTGGGACAGGATTTTGCAATAAAATCTGAAAGAGAAGGAGAGGGCAGTGGGTGGGGAAAGAAGAGGAAGGAGGGAGAAAGGTCTCTAACATCATCGATATTTTCCAACAGGACTGGTCAGCAAAGCCTGGGGTGTCATCAAGGTCTGTATCTCAGCATAAAGAGCTAAGAAATAAAGTCGTGGCTGACTGGGTGCAAATTCAAACAAAGGCGTAAAAGAAAAAGCAACTGGAGTGGAAGGACCATGAGACGATACCCACAGGCCTAGAGAAACGGCCCCCATGCCACTTGGACACAAGTAACATCAAAAGTGGAGTTAAAACTTGCTACCATCACTGCCATCAAGTCAACGCCGACTCACAGCTACTCCATGTGAGTTTCCAAGGCTGTAACTAACTCTTTCTCCGGAGGAGCAGACTGGTAGTTTCAAACTGCTGACCTTGCAGATTGCAGCCCAATGCTTAACCACTACGCCACCAGGGCTCCTAAAAGCTTGCCTAGAGTCTTAGTATTACTTCTTAAGTTCATCACACCCTAAACTTCTATCAGTCTAAATGTTTTAGAGATACAGGACACAACTCACCACAAATAAAGTCTCTGAAAGTGTACAAAGACCACAAGTATAGTCTCAAAAAGAGAAATACAATCACACAGAATTAATCTTAATAATTACATAATGACATCCAGGATTTGGGAGGGAGAGAGGGCCTACCTTATAAATCTCATCCTTTGGTAGCATAATAACTGTTTATAAGAGAAATTAGGGCTTCTTCCTGACAGGTAATTATTAAAAGTATTAACCTATTTATCCAAAGACCTCTGCTGTATCACCAATAGTTCTACCCCTTCCCATTTCAAGACTATTCGTATACATAGTAGCCTTGAAATGGGGAGGGATAAAAACACTGTTCCATTTAGGATGCTCTCTCCTAAAAGGGGCTCTGGTGGCTTAGTGGTTATAGATTGGAGTGCTAACCACAAGGAAGGTCAGCAGTTCAAAACCATCAGCTGCTCCACGGAAGAAAGATGAGGCTGACCATTCCTGTGAAGATTTATATCCTGGGAAACCAACCTATGGGGCAGTTCTACTCTGTTCTACAGGGTCATCATAAGTAGGAACTGACTTAATGACAGAATGTGGTTTGTTTCTTGTTTTGTGGTGTATACTACACATTATCTTGATGGTAAAGCCAATCAGAAGGCTAATCAATTATTAAAATGTCTGAAATACGCCTGATCTACCAGTCAATATAAAAAACTTAGCAGATGGAAAATTCAAGTATGAGTTTGTTCTTGTACGCCGAGATGATTCCCACTCTGAGCAACCGTACAGGATCGAGAACTACCCCAAAGGGATCCTAGGCTGTAAGGCTAGCATTGTCAAGGATTCTACTTTACTTGTATGCAGAATCAGCACCCACAGAAACAGTGGTTAAGAAACCAAAGGCATACTGCATTGGGCAAATCTGCTGCACAAGACCTCTCCTAACGTGAAAGAGTAAAGCTATCACTAACGGGTGCCTGTATGAAGCTGTAGCATATTCAGTCCCCACACATGCAATGGGAAAACTGTGCGGCAATAGGGAAGACCAGAGAAGAATTGATGCATTGAATGATGGTGCTGGGAAAGAATAATGGCAGGGCCATGGACTGTCAGCAGAACAAACAGGTCTGTCTTAGAGGAAGCACAGCCAGAACGCTTCTTAGAAGTGGGGTTGGCGAGATTTCATCTCATGTACTTTAGACACGTTGTCAGGACAGACCGGGCAGACCACAACCAAACTCACTGTCACCAAATTGGTAGTAAAACTGTCCATTTGAGTTTCTGAGGCTATAAATCTTTACAGGAACAGAAAGTCTCGCCTTTACTGGCCCCCACCCCCAGCCCTGCCCCAGAGCAGCTGGTGGATTTGAACTGCTAACCTTGCAGTTAGCAGCTCAGTAGGAAGCCCACTATAACACCACTACGACTCCTTCAGGAGAGCACAGTCCCTGAAAAGGGGCATCAAGCTTGGTAGACGAAGAGCAAAATAACAAGAAGACCCACAACGAGATGGATTGGCACAGTGGGGACAACAATGGGCTCAGGCATAGCAAACGTTAGGAAGCCGCGGGCCTGGGCTGTGTTTCATTCTCCTGCGCACAGTGCTGCTGACTCGGAATCCACCTGATGGCACCCAACTCCAACTGCACAACGTGTGGAAGCAGGCTGCGACACCTTTCTCCCACAGAGCAGTTGATGAGTCCAGTCATCCACCTATACCTTAGCAGCCATGTGCCTAGCCATTGTCACCAGGGCTTCTTAATTCAAAAATATACCTGAGAACCAACCGCCTGTCAGAAATCCTACAACACGGGATACACTGAATCGGGGCTAAAAAATGTCACACACACGTACACCATATAAACAAGGAGTGACTTGCTTTATACAGAATTCAAATACTTTCCCTATTTCTTCTTGACGGCCTTAAGGATGGTAACTTCTAATGTGGAGAGATTTTTCCAATTTCAAAAAGTATCCATCACATTCTATGCTGCGTTTTACTTCTCAGCTTTTTGCCCAGAGCATTCGAAGGAACGGAGAAATAAACTAAACGACTGCCATCGAATCGATTCCGAATCAAATGACCTTACAGGGCAGGGCAGAATGGTCCCTGTGGGTTTGCAAGACTGCAACTCTTTCCAGGGGTAGGAAAGCTCATCTTTCTGGAGCAAAGGAGAAATACTAACTGGGAAATCAAGCCTCCTCCTTTACGGAGACTTTGAAATCATTTGAAATGGGACAAGTCTAATGGCATGCACAGTAATATATATTTTTTTCTAACTCCACAGTTGGTATCGTTTCTGTAACTCATGAACTTTCTTTTCCCTGCCTATCAATGCACTTCTGACAGACTCAGAGCTCATTCAGCAAGAGAAAGGAGGAACTGGATTATCCATTTCCAAAACAAGTTCAGGAACACGGCCCGAGAAGGGCAAGAGAACAGACATCTAAGGTTGCCAAGGAAACCACTTGGAGCAGAGTTGCACTAGCTCCCTTGCCCGCTGTCCAGGCCAGGGGCAGCCCGGGGATCCCGGGGCCGGGATTCGGCCCGTCCCTGGCCTCGCCGCACGCCGGCCTCCAGCCCCCTGGTGTCCAGTACCAGTTCTCGCCTTCAGCCCGCTTCCCCTGCGCTCCGGCTCCGGAACTCCCCAAGTCGGCCTGGGCCCTCCCTCTCAGCTCCAGCCTCTCCCTTACCTGCGCCCTCCGCCCCGGCCCCGCCGTCCCCTTCCAGCCTCGCCGCCGCTGCAGCCCGCTCCGGCGCAGGAAGCCGGCTCCGAGGGCAGCGCGGGGAGAGCCGAGGCCACCGGTGGTTGCTGCAGGAAGCGACGGTGCTTACATGGTTGAAACAGCTTCTAGCTTCCCCCGAAGGCTCCGCCCCCTAGTCCTCCTCTCCTCCAATCGGCAGCGCTTCCCGGGGGCAGGCTCCGCCCCCTCCTCACCGCCCTGCAGGCGTTGGAATCAGATGCTCAGACACAAGGAATACAGCCTAGATAGAGTCGTCCACGACGCCCGCGCCGAGCGTCGGCTGCCTCAGCGTTCCTGGAGGAAGCTGTGACAGCCGCGCGCGTGAGCACGGCGCGTGCCCCGTCACCCGGATGGGGGCCCCGCCTAGGCCGCGGTTACCGTAAGTGTTGGAAAAGGTGGGCAGAAAAATACTGGTACATTACCGTGCTCGGCTTTCTGCTCAGATTAAGAAAGCGGGTTCTGTTCTCAGACGGGGTGGACTCTGTCAGGAACTAGTGATATGCCAATTGCTCGTTTACGGAAATACTTACCTCTCTAGCTATAGACCTCCTCTCTACAAAAACAGGTCTAGTAATAGTACTCAGTGGATTATTTTTTCAAGAAGTAAAGACAATGCAGCAAAACGATTGTCACGCCGCCAATTGAGTAATCTCTAATGCTAGCTTTATAGCTAACATTCTTTTTATTTTAGTTTTGTGTTGCAAACACTGAAGGCCGTCAAGTCACTTGGCCCTGTCTTGCTCAGTCTGGTGCACATTAGCATTATTTTTATCCTGCTCAGAGCGCTGTGCAGTTGGCAAGAGACAAGCCAAAAGACCTGGCAACCACAATTGTGGGGCTCGGCAAAGAAAGAAGGAAATGGGATGAAGCCCTGAATGAAGGTCTGTTACAATTATGCTGTCTTGGCCCTTTTCCTCCAGCACTTTAGTAAATCCCTAGTCAGCTATTCCTGAGTCTTTTCTGAACACTGAGGAGTAAAACTAAAGTCCTACAGGTTGGCATCTGTAGGAATCCCAGTCACCATCCCCCATTGTGTACCACAGTGACCTTCCTTTTGTCTATGGGCTTATGCATTAGGCTGCAAGGTCAGCAGTTCAAAACCACCAGCAGCTCAGCGAGAGAAAACCGAGGATTGTTCTACTCTCAGAAAGATTTACAGCCTCAGAAACCAGCAGGGCCGGCTCTACAGGCCTATAGGGCCATTATGAACTGGAGTTTAATTGATGGCAGTGAATGAGAGCCAGCTTCCTCTACAGTTCTTAGCACCTGCTACCCCAGACATGACATCCAATAAAACAAACCAAGCTCACTGCCACCGAGTCCTTTCTGGCTCAAAGCGACCTGATAGGACAGAACTGAACTGCCCCTGTGGGTTTCTGAGATTCTAACTCTTTACGGAAATAGAAAGCCTAGTCTTTCTCCCGTGAAGCAGCTAGTGGTTTTGAACTGCTGACCTTGAGAGTAGCACCCCAATGCATAAGCATTGAGTTCTTGGTTTAAAGGAAAGGAAACCAAAAACCCTTGCTTTAAGCCCATTCTGACTAACAATGACCCTGTACAGGGTTTCCGGGAACAAAAGCTTCTTATTTCTCCCTCAGAGGGGTTTGAACCACTGCCCTTGTAGTTAGCAGCCCAACGCATGATCAGGGCTCCCATGCAATAGAGTAAAAACACTAAATTCAAAATGTTCTCTTGATTATCCTGTTCAGCAGGGAATCCCATCTCCTATGGTGGTGAAAAGAACATGGTTCGTGGGTATGGCCCAGGCAAGCAAACGACCTACCAACTCCACCACCACCCTGATCCACAGCCACACGTCCTGGCCCTGCCGCCTCCTCATCTCTGGAAGAAAAGAGACTCTTCTTCCAAAGTTCAATCCTTCCCAGTTCCCACCATCATCAGTTCAGCCACTCCTGTCTCCTCTGAGCACCTGCCCAAATCTTCAGCCTCTCCTGTTCCAAGCCTCTTCCTCCTCAGGTCTCAAACCTGCTCAGACTCAGCCTTCTTAAAGAGAAGGAACACGAGTCCTCCTTGCAGTTAGCCTGCTAAATGTGAAAACATTTTACCAACCTACAAAAAAAGTTCAGAATGCATGAGAGTTCATATGAATACATAGTTCAGTCAAGAAGATACTAGAGTTATAGGAACTCAACAAACGGTCAGCATCCAGTTGAAGAACATTTTTTGAGGGCTTATTTTGATGAGCACTGTGTCAGCAGGAATCCCCTGTGTGGTGCAAAGGTTAATGTGCTTGACTGCCAACTGGAAGGTTGGAAGTTAGAGTTTCCCAAGAAGGGTGCCAGGGAGCCCTGGTGGGAGCTGGGCTGCTAACTGCAAGGCCAGCAATTTGAAACCACCAGCAGCTCGGAAGGAAGGAGAAAGACAAGGCTTTCTACTCTGGTCCAGAGTCTTGGAAACGCACAGGGCCAGTTTTGCCCTGCCCCATAGAGACACGATGAGTCAGAACTGAGTCCTGTTGGGAGAGTATCTGGGGGGGCGGGTGAAAGGCATAGCGATCGACTGCATCGGCTATTAACAACCTTGTGGAGCACAGTTTTCCTCAGGCCCCCATGTAAATCAGAATTGACTGAGTAGGAACTGGTTTTTGTGTTAGGTAGGCACTAGGGATGAAATTATAAGCATAACACTGTCCCTGTTATCAAGTGTAATCCAATACCACATTTCTGGGGGAAATAGGTAATAAACTAACTGCCAGTTTTGGGGGGTGGGGGAACCTGTTGTCAACGGGTGAGATCAACCACATCACTATCTTAGTAATTAAAGCCTTTATTAAACAGCTGGACCGAGAGTAGGCTACTGCCTGGAAACCTTTCGATCCAGAGAAAGAAATATGAAACGTTTTATAGTTCAAAATAGGGGGCTGGCTGAAAGGGAGGGATATTCTAGCCGTTATGTACTCATCAGGTTGGCAGGGAATGGGGTTGGGGGGAAAGGCACAGCTTCAGGTGCTCGTTCAAGGTCTTACAAGATAGTGTGCATTTCTTGCTAATGGGGCAGGCAGGGTTGGAGACAACCAGGAAGGGCCAAGGTCTGGTTGGGAGAGGTGGGAGAGGGAAGAGGAGAAGGGAGCTAACTGCTAGTTGGGGTGAAAGACAGTGTGAAATGTGATGGAGTTCCTCATGTTAAGCTGGGTGACTACAGCATCCATGTGGATTTTCTCCTCTGAGTAGACATCAAAGAAGTCTTGGTGGTGTCGTGGTTACAGGTTAGGCAGCAATCCCCACAGTCAACAGTTCAAAACCCAGCGGCCTCTCCACAGGAGAAAGAAGAGGGCATCCGCTCCTGTTTTCACTTCCAGTCTCTGACATGCACAGTCCTTTATGCAGGGGCGGCAGTGACTGTGTCAGTGTGTTTTGTTGCGTAGACATCAAAACTGGTGTCTGATGAATGTTATCTGTGGAGAGATGTTTGATTCTGTGGAAATGTTCTTTTCCTCAAAACCTGTCATCCAAGCCTCCTACTTATGATTATTAGCTGACTTGATTACTGTTGTAATACTGTTCTTATATTCCACTGCATGTATTGGTTGCATTTTACTCTAAAACAAGTAACTAATTACATAGATTTCCCTTCACTTTTTATTTATTTGCATCAGCAAGGGCTCCTGTTGTTAGTTTTTCAATGTTTTCTAATTCATTATTGCCACGTTTTTGTTGTTGTTGTTTTCTGTACAAATCCTCTCTGGTTTGACCCGTAGCAGATCCTTCAAACTGGCTGTGTCCTTTGGACAGGACTCTACTGCTTTGAGCCCTCCTTTACGTTCAGACACAATAAAAGATAACAAGCTTATCTTGAATTTTCCCTGCCCTATGCCTGAACAGTTTTATTGTCATATAATTCACATATCATACAATTCAATAGTTCAATCACATCAAGAAGAATTGTATAATGATAAATATATATTTTTGGATATGATAAATCATATCAAAACTTTTTTGATAATGACAGATATATATATATATATACTAATATGGCCCTTCTACCAGAATTCCTTGTGTGATGTGTTATTCTTGGCCCTTGGCCAAGATCCCATTTTGGAGGGTGTTCTCTGTTACAGGGCTAAGGTGGGGCAATGTCTTGACCTTCATAGAGGGTCCAAACCAAGCCACACCATTTTTTCCTTGGCAGCTTCTTCAAACTACCAGAGTAAAAGGAAGAGGGGAGCCCTGGTGACCTATTGGTTACCAGCTGGGCTGTGATCCTCAAGGTCAGTTCGCTAGATGAGGGACAAAGGGGGCCGTCTTCCCTAATGCCTGTGCTAAACGAAAGGGAGCTGTACACCAGGCGCCCATTAGACGCCTATGGGAAGAATCCAAACGACGCATGTGCGGACTAGGACCACCTCAGCACAGGTGGAACCAAACCCTGGTCACAGCCTAGGCGCCTGACATCACACAGGTGTGCTGAAACTCAGCCAATAAGGTCGGCCAGTACCCTCAGCCACGCCTCCCCGTTCAGTGGGGTTTGGAGGGACTAAAAGCAGGCTGCTGGTTCCCTCCTTGCTCGCCTGTTCTGGGGTGCTCTGCACACAGAGGGTGAGATTCCTCCTGCATGTGGGTACGCACTCACTTGTGTGCCCCCACTGGCTGCCCGCTCACTCTCTTGGGAGTTCCTGCTCTTGGCTCTGCACGCTAGGCCCTTGCTCCTGGTCCGGCATTCCTTCCATGCGTTCTTCCACGGCCCCTGAAATGGCCATCTTCAGTTATCTTGAGGTGTCCCCAGGCGGCCTTGCACACGTTCCACCAAACTCCACTCCCAGCGTGAAGCTGATCTCTGTGTTCTTCTTCTTTTTTTTTTTTTTAATCATTTTATTGCGGGTTCGTACAATTCTTATCACAATCCATCCATCCATCCATTGTGTCGAGCACATTTGTACATTTGTTGCCCTCATCATTCTCAAAACATTTGCTCTCCACTTATGCCCCTGGAATCGACTCCTCATTTTTTCCCC